ATGAAGTAATTAATCATGTATTAATGCATATTAGTTTACCTGTCATATTATCTGGAAGTTGAAATACAAGGCTTTGGCTCATTTTGGTAATTAACATATTAATTGACATTATTAGTTAAAAAAATTAGTTATTATGGAATTAATCCACAATTACATATTTAATCAATAACAATTCATGTATGAACTAATACATTAACCTTACATACTCTTGATTATTTCCTAATGTGGTAATGATTAATGAATAGCTTATATGATCATTAGTTACACATTAATTCAGTATTATCTGTACATTAGTTAAGCATGAATTAATGCTTATTAGTGTAAAGTGTTACCAATTTAATATAAAAGAATAAATGTGAAACCTGGACACTACTTGCTGAATAAAACCTGCAACATGATGGATGTTACATGCATTCAGTTTGAATTGTTTCACGTCTTAATTTTCTTTATTGAATAATTGCAGATTCGACGCCTGATATTGAAATTCATTGGGAAAAGAGAAACCATTAATTTAGTCGTTGTTCCCTGCAATGTTGACATCGCAACCACAGAAGCACTTAGAATGGCTCAGGGTGTTGATCCTGATGGCTCGAGGACTTTAGGTATTATTACACATCTATTTGACTATTTAGATTAGAAAATTAGTTTTGCTTGATATAATGCATAATATCTGTTCAAACACTTTTTATTGCTTCAGCAATATTGACAAAGCCAGACCTGGTGGATAAAGGAGCAGAGGCTGACATCTTACAAGTACTGCAGGGTAAAGTAGTTCCTCTCAAAAAGGGCTTCACCATTGTCCGATGTAGAGGCCAGAGTGACATCAATGAAAACGTTCCTCTGGCTGAAGCCACGAGACAGGAAAACGAGTTCTTCGCCAATCACCCGGACTTCAGGTATTACGTTGCATTCAACCTGGTAGATATTCTACATTTATCTGTAATATTTTATGTAATGTTCAAAGCCACTTAAAAGTTGTTTTATTCTGTTGCCACCAGTTATCTTCTTCAAGAGCAGAGAGCCACAATATCCTGCCTGGCCACCAGACTCAGTAAAGAGCTGGTCGAACACATCAGGGCAAGTCTAAACATTGTAAAATATTCCGACACTTGCTCTAAACACTTAAATTATGAGTTATTCCTTAATTTACAGGCTTCACTTCCATCTCTAAGTGATCAAATTCACGTCAACTTGTCTGCTGTGAGAGTCGAGCTCAAGAGTTATGATGATGGTCCTCCTTTAGAGATTGAGCGCATGGGGCCTTATCTCAGCAAGGTACAGTAAGTGCAAGCATTAGCTATTGCTTGTAATATCTGAGCAATCCTGGCTGAAATTAACTTCTGTTTCTCTTTATGTGTAGAAAATCCTGGAGTTCAGTGACCAGATAAGCGAGTTGTGTAGAACTGGAGAATCACACAATGGGAACCTCTACTCGCTCCTTCGACCGGTGTTTAAGCAATGGGAATGTCATCTGAGTAACTCCAAATCATTGTGTACGTCAGATGGTGACAACATTAATGAGAACCATTTTTTCTTCATTTTTTTTCCTCTTGGTATGATTTAGCATGATTTGTATTATGGACCCATTATGCCCATATTACATTCTATCCTCCTTGTTGGACATATAGCGAGTGATGCAGTGAAAATACCAAAGTGCTGCTGCTCAGCCAACATACAAAACTTTCACCATTGACCTTTAATCTTATAATTTGTGGTAACTGTTTATTTTATTTTAGTCAAAGAGTCTGTAAAAGAGATGATAGAAAATTATGACGAGGGCCATCGTGGGAGAGAACTGGTGACCTTCAGTGATTACAGTGTATACGAATCAATGGTAAAGAAACATGTTGGAGATCTTAAACAACCAGCATTGGATACTTCAAAGCTCATCCGAGGTAGCTACCTGAACTTTAACTGGCTTTTTTTTTTACGTTTTATATGGATTACATTTAAAATGATTTACAATAACAGTTCTAATTTACTATAACCTTAGGTATTGTGCAAAAGGAGTTTAGGGTCATGTGTGAGCTGTGTTTCCCAAACTTCCCTCATCTGAGACACATAATACTGGTGTGTTAAAATGACACTTGTTTGATCACATTAAATCATCTTAAAAGACAATAAAAGCCTTAAACATAACATCTCTCATGTTCCCGTAGAACCAAATTGACGAAATTCACTCAAAACAAGAAAGCAAGGTGGATAAGAGGATCCATGAGTACATTAACATGGAGAAGCTTGTGTACACGCAGGATCCCATTTTTACCCAGAAAATCGTAGATTTCAAGTTTGTGGAAAAGAGGCAGCAGTATGAGTCCATTAGTTTGGATACGGGAGAGAACGCGACCTCGCCCAACAACTGTGCTGTGTTCGACACCAGGAGCCTGACACCTGAGAAACTGATCATCTACTACGAGGTGTAAATCAGTTTCTGACTTCAGTATTAGCTGCTCGTGTTCTTTAATATTTGGTTTAATTGCACTGAAAACCCCCCGCTCTCTCAATCAAACAGATTGTGTATCAGCGTCTGGCCGACTACATTCCTATGGTGATCCTGCTGTTCATATTGAAGGAAGCTGCCGTGATACTGCGGGCTCAAGCGATGGACCTGCGGGATGGAGCGGATGTTGTGAAGCTGCTCTTGGAGGACACAGAGGCTGGTCGGAAGAGAGCAGACTTACACCAACGCATGGAGCGGCTGCGTCTGGCATATGAACGCATCAGTATATACCTCTGAGACAGATGTTTTCTCTAACAGCTGTCCTGACATAATGGACCAGCCACTAAACATGAAACAGGCTATTTTATGGTCAGCAGCGAAGGAAAGATGATGATCAACATTATAATATTCTTACAAAGAGTCCAGTGTTTGTGGGGTTTAATGCACATTTAGATGCAAATGATTCATTCCATTTCTAAAGCTATATTATAAATATATTTGACATAATCAACTGTATAATATAATTATATTTGATGTAATAACTCCAATAACTAAATATGTGAAATAAAACATACATTTTCATGTATTTAATCTCACTTTATTGACCAATGTTGTTTATTACCTTTGATGATTCAGTTAAACCATAAGCAAAAATGACTATAGATTTTTTTGTTTTTATTGGTAAAGTAGCCTAAGTGTCCCATTCTTTCAGCACAGCTGAAAGCTTTGTTTGAGCGTCGCTCTACTGTACACGCATGATTTTGCATTTCCTTCAGCCTGAGGCATAGTACGTATTTCACTTTTGGTGTGAAAGGGTCTTTACATTTGCTCAAAAATATAACTTTTTGTTGTAAAAAAAATAAGCCCATCCCAGGTGGAAAAAAAGTAACACAAAAGTAACATAACGCATTACTTTTTGAAAAAAGTACTTAAGCCCAGCTCCTTTAAATTAGTTACTTTTTAAGGGATAATGCAATATTGTAATGCTACAGAATGCCTCCTGGATGCAATGGATTCTGCATGCCAAGACATCCCAGCTGAATACTGCCAGGGATAAATAAGGAATGCCAAATAATTCTTCCCAAGAAGCCTTGCCAGAGAAGTGTGTGCTGTGGATGAGACCATGTGGCAAAATGGAGAATACCGGGATGATTAGAAGATGGCCTTTTCTGTTTGTATATTTTGTATCTTCACATACAGTAATACTGTAAATGGCAGCTATTGCATACTTTTGGTATTTTGCAGAAATACCCTGTTGCAAATAAAGCCTTTACTGCGCCATTCTGGCATTCTGTCTTCTTTTTTTCATAAACCGTACAATGCTACTCAGAGAAGGGTCATTCATTTTTTGTATTGAATTTATACGGCAGCTAAACCCAAACAAAACTGTAGAGAGGCTTCAGAAGAATCTTCAGTGCAAAACAATCTATAAACAATACAATATACTGTCTTTTGTATAATACAATATACTGTCTTTTGCAGACCTGACATAGCCTACTGTATATAAAATAATGCAGTTTCTGTAATTCCATCTCATGTTAGTGTTTTTATGACATTGTGCTATGATTGACTAAATGTCCCAGTTGGAAGAGAACATGTGTTAGTGTTTTGGTACACAGAGTATTGTGTTAGTGTATTATTGTTTTTTGAAAATTAGTGTTGGAGTTTAGTTTACAGTGTGTGATTTTGAGCATGAACTTAACCGTATGCCATTTGTGTTTTAGGTGTTTTGTTGCGTTAAGGAGTTTAGGAAAATTGTTAAAAGTATTGAAAAAAACTGTCATAGCGATTGCAAAAAACTGTAAATGTCCAAAACTCAACTCAAAATGTATAAAGCTCAAAGCAGCTTATAGAGAAAACAGGAAAGTAATATTGTTAATAAAATTGTTAAAAATAAAATTAAAAGTCCCCAACTAAGCAAGCCAAAAAAAGGGGAAAATGCGACAATGGCAAGGAACGAAAACTCCATCAGGTGACAGAAGGGAGAAAGAAAAACCTTGGGAGAAACCAGGCTCAGTTGGGGGCCAGAAGTCAGTTTAGATCATAGTTTTCTATGTGTGTGCCAAGTTAAAGACATTGGTTTCTAATCTATATTTAAATCAAATGAATGTGTTTTTATAGTGAAATGAATAAGCCTCAGGCTGAAGGAAATGCAAATTCACAAACCTATCAGCTGTGCTGTCATTTTGGATTGAAGAATAGGATGCAGGAGAAAAAGTTCAAAAACTAATTAAAAAAACAAAAATGTGATGTTTATCTAAAGTCATTTTAGCTTAGGTTGAAGTGGATAATTCGAAATTCAGCAACAAATGTATCTAAATGTATCATTAGAACCAAGCACACTACATAACACATCCAAGACACAGTTTTAACTAGTCGCACGCAACTGGCCCCGGATCCTGCCCTAGGCACGTCATGTAAACCATACACACAAAGGCATTTTCTTTTAAGCAAAATATATGAAAATGTCTTACATTATTCTGTTTCTACTTTCAATTTCATTCTTACACACTATAAATTCAGTCTGACACACACATTTCAACTCTCTTTGATTTCTCAAATCGACATGAATATTGTGTTTGGGTGAAACCTAAATTAAATATTTTTCTTTAGAGTTATCCAATAACAAGGACATTAACTATTCTCAGAACTAACTTTGTTTTTTCCTCTTTTGTTTTTCTATAAAATGAACAGTTCACGCGTATTTTCTTTATTCTCTTCTCCAGATCAAAGAACTGATGATGATGAAGACAGTGATAGCTCTCAAACTGAAAGGTTGGTCAAAAATGTAATTTGCTTGTTACTAATCTATTTTTTAGTTAACTGTAAATGTATTTAGAAATACATATTTTATGCTTTTATTGGCCTAATTTATTTCTTATGTACAAAAATTGGGAAAATTTATATGGTAACACTTTACAATAAGGTCTCATTTGTTAGTACATAATGTATTAACATTAACCAGCAATGAGGAATGCATTTGTTACAGTATTTATTAATACTAATTAACATTAGTAAATAAAAAAAAATCAACTGTTCATTGTTTGTTCATATCAGTTCACCGTTTCGATTTTAATAACATTAATAAATGTTGAAATTAACATGAATTAATGCTGTAGAAGGTCTTAGGTCATGCTAACTAATGAAACCTTGTTGTGAAATATTACCATTTATGTTTTACATTTATACGTTTATAAATTCATATTTAAAGTTCTTTACATTTGTATGATATTGAAAGTTAAAAAAACATTTTATCATACAAATAAAAAAATAATAAATAATGAATATAAAGGATTAATAAAAAAAAATTTAATAAAAAAATAAAAGGGAAAGCATGCTATACTGTCACGGTGTGGCTCTGGCTGAAGGACGAGGAGACCGGAGTATCGGTAGAGAACAGGTATTTACTATAAACAGGCAGGAAGACAGGAATAAGGCAACCACACAGGTTCACAATAAACACAGACATCGACCGACAAGACTGAATGAAACTGAACAGAACTAAATGCACAGAGGAATCAGGCTAAGTGGGGTGAACACAGGTGAAAATGATAATGACAGGACGAGGAACAGGTGGCTGATTGGGGAGTGAGTCCGGGAGAGGAACAAAAGGATCCGGGGAAGTGTAGTGCAGATGACGGGACAAGGTGAAGACGACAGACTGTGACAGCTACATGAAAGGACATAAACTGAATAAAATAATAAAGTACAATCAGCGAGTTTTTTTTTTTTTAAACAAATACATTTTTGTATTAGTGAGCAAATGAAGGGAGCAGTTCACAGTCATTTAGAGAGGAGCATTCGTCCGTACATCGATCTGATTGACACTCTGCGGTCTGTTGGCATTCACAAGGACGTGGCATTAGCGACTATTGCAGTGATCGGAGACCAAAGTTCTGGGAAAAGCTCTGTGTTGGAAGCGCTGTCTGGAGTTGCGTTACCAAGAGGAAGTGGTGAGCATGAGTGCTGGAAAATCTATTCAAGAAATGTTACTAGCTAAGAGTTTACTCCATAAAAAGGTTTATGGAAGTTGAATCCTTCAACTTCATCAATAAAATAGCTTCTAAAGAAATTTAGAAAATAGTATGCAATAAATTTAATGACATTTCTGCCCATCAAATTGTTATTATTGTTCTTGTAACATTATCAGTTTTCTAATATTTTTAACTGAACTGTGTTTGCAATAGGAATTGTCACCAGATGTCCACTAGAGCTGAGGCTGAAGAAGGTTACAGGTAAAGTCAACTGGAAAGCTGTTCTGTCCTACCGAAAGAAGAGAATTGAATTTGTGCATTCTTCATTGGTTGAAAGACATGTTGAAACAGGTTAGTAAAATTACTAGCAATCTGTTTTTTTTTTGTTTGTTTGTTTTTTGTCAAGTGTTCAAAGCATATTGCCTAATAGGCTATATGCATTAGGCTATGCATATAATTAATGTGGTTGAGACTGAGGGAAAATTAACACTATGTGAAAAGTGTAATACAGACGAAGCTACTACCAAATAAAATCTATCTTTAATGTCACATTAACACAAACAAAGAAGTAGTTCACTTTTAAAAAAAACTTTTGCTGATAATTTACACTCCCCCATGTCATCCATGTCCACGTCATTCTTTCTTCAGTCGAAAAGAAATTAAGGTTTTTGATGAAAAGATTCCAGTATTTTCTCCATATAATGGACTTCATTGGGAACCAATTGGTTCAAGGTCCAAATGAGAGTTTCAGTGCAGCTTCAAAGGGCTTTAAACGACACCTCTATAGAGCATCACAGTCCTGCCCACAGCCCGAGAGAGCGTTGGTGCCGGAAGTAAATTTCCCATTCATTTCTCCCATTGACATTTTGTAAAAATCCATATCTAAAGAGTATAAGAGCATGTCTGAGGATAACCAGCTACGGCTGAACTCATAAGCATTAAAAATATAATATGAATGCATTATAAAAATACTAATTATAAAATGCATTACAATGAGAAATTCTATTTCTTCTTTCGCTGCAAAATAAAGTTATTTCACTGTGACAGAGTCCTTACACAAATGTGAATGGAGAAATTGTATTGAATTTTTCCTAGCGGCACTGGCTGTGGGCAGGACTGTAGAGTGCCGAAGTTATGACCAAAACGCGGAAGTGAATTAGCATTTTAGCACTACCAGTTCCCTCGCACTAAACTAAGTCTATGGGATTTTTGAACGGGTTTTTGCTAAATCGCTTGAAATAAGGTCTGTGGTGAACAAAGCCTCTAAATATTTTCACGTTTTTATCTATGACATAGAACAACCTGCTTCTATTTTTTTTAACTTTATTGTGTCTGCTTGTGTTTTTAAAAAAACTTTATATAGGCTTCAAAATCAAATGTATAAATTTTGGATTAACTTGTAAAGATTATCTTGATAGATAGAAACGTGTAAGGGCCACAACTCTTTGTTAAACACAGATATTATTTTTTGCGATTTCCCAAAAGTCTATGGGGAAAATGCATGGCTATATGCTATATATATAATATATAAATATATGCTATATTTAAAATCCTTTTTTTAATTGATTTTATGTAATATTCAAATTTTCGGAGATTTTGAATTTGGGGTTTTTATAAGCTGTAAGCCATATTGCACGATATTCTCATTTTTTGAGTTTCACCTGTACACTGTTAGTCACAGAAAATGATAACAACACTCATATTCTGCACATCTACACTTATATTCTGGAAAATACGTTTCTGTGGAAAACAGTTTACTTCTAATATTTTGCATTTGTATCTTGGATGGCAGACTAATGTTGTCATTTGTGCTATAAAACAATGATTTGATTATTGCAATTAAATAAAGTAAAACATAATTTTTTTGGTAGCATAACTGCCACCTTTTCATATGATGAAAGTTCAAAAACTCAGTACTGTATCAATCCTTTTATATTGATGGGGGTATTTTAAAACTACATATTTTCATTTATTAATAAACTAAAACATACAAATGTGTTACAGCCCAGAATGAGCTGGCAGGAAGTGGGGTAGGAATATGTGATGAGCTCATCACTTTAGAGGTCATGTCACCAGATGTGTGTGACCTCACACTGATCGATCTACCTGGAATTGCCAGAGTCCCAGTAAAAGGACAGCCAGAGGATATTGGATACCAGGTGAGCAGCATAACCGGATTTACAAGTCACATTCTGTACCATACCAGTTTTAAAACCATGTCTCATGTCTTATAGATTAAAAGACTCATAACAAAGTTTATTGAGAAGCAAGAGACTATAAACCTGGTGGTGGTCCCTTGTAACACTGACATTGCAACAACAGAGGCATTAAAAATGGCACAAGAAGTAGATCCTGAGGGCCGAAGAACTATCGGTAATGCACTCTCACCAAATAACTTTGATTTATGAGCACCTGTGTCAAAAATGCTCATTTTGAAAGGATTATCCTTGGTCATCTGGGTGAATAGTTTTCGGTGTTTATTATAACTTGCCTATCGAAAAGCTGTGGGAGTAGATGATGTTATACTTTTTATGTTGCATAATATTCATAATCATTTGGAGAAAGTTCTGTTAGGATAATTTTGTGTTTTAACCTACTACAGTACAACTATTATGTAGGTATTGGATTATCCTCTATGTCGACCCCAATTTGTTAGTCAGGGTGATAAAATATCTGATATTATTATGACTAAAAAAAGTCCACCACAAGGCACAGTTTTATTCCATTGGTGTCAGTTGGAAGCTAAGCTTCTTTATGTTTGTTATTGAATCATGGTCAGTGTTTTGTTTTACACAGCACTCTGTTGGGGATGTATAGTTTTACTGTAGATGATAAAAATGGGATTAATAAACTGATTAGAAAGGCTGGTTTGGTATTTTTGTATGTATTGATTGTTGTTCTTTTTAATGTTCAATTGTCTATTTGTGTTGTTTGTGATGTGCAATGGTGCCAAATGAGTTTTCATTCTCATTTTACAGCTGTTTTGACCAAGCCAGATCTCATAGACAAGGGAACTGAGAAGAACATTCTGGACATTGTCCGCAACAAAGTGATTCCTCTCCACAAAGGTTACATCATGGTGAAGTGTAGAGGACAACAGCAGATCGATGAGAACATTCCTCTGGAGGAGGCGACAGAAATGGAGAGAGATTTCTTCCAAAAGCATGACCATTTCAGGTTACAGTCTAATTTTCTAATTTAACTTTGTGTTCCCAAAAAATATTCTGAAAGACTTGATTCATACAGTTTAGGTCAGATTTTGTTTTCACAGTAATGCCACAGAGGAACAGTTTTTGGTTCTCTTCAGTGCATCCTTTTCCATAAAGAACCTTCTTTTTTGGATAAAAAATGTTCCATGGACGTTACAAGTCTTAATAGCTGGTTAGCATTTGGACTAAACTAAACCACCTTACAAAAAGTGCTTTGTCATTTTCAACAGTTGCCTCTTGGATGAGGATAAAGCAACTATTGAATGTCTTGCGGTCAAACTGACACAAAATCTTGTTGATCATATCAAAGTAAGTTTTTAAATGTCTCAAACTAAAGGCCTGTTTACACTGAACATGAATTTACTGTAGGTATATTGCAAAAATGCAGATAGATTACGAGACTATAATAAATCATGTTTTTGTTTTTTTTTAAATCCGTCTTCGCCAGAAATCACTGCCACAGCTCATTGAGCAGATAATAACACAGTTGTGGGAAGTGAAGAATGAGCTCAAGGAGTGTGAAGCTGGACCGCCACAGGACACTAAGGGAGCCAAACAGTTCCTCATTGAGGTAGGATCTCAAGTCATCGCATCTTCTTGCTTCTGAGAATTATCATTTGGAGCTCAAGCTGCTAGAACCCTATTGCGTTTGTTGTGATTTTCTCCTTCTACCTTATGTACCGGCTCGAAAAATATCTTGACGTCAGATATATAGTCCCAAATCTCATCACTGTCCAGGCACACGTACACACCACTGTCTGACAATAGGTGTTGCTATGGTTATGATTTAAAAAAAAAGCTGCGTCTATTAAACTCCTTGTTGTATTATAAATTATTTTCTCACCCTAATGTCTTTTTCTACCTGCCGAGACACTTTTGCTGTAAAATGAGACTGTACATGAACATGTACATGTAACAAATACTTTATCTTTATCACAGATCCTAACAAGATTCAATGAACAAATCAACTCCTTGTCATCAGGGGAGCTGATTAATCCAGAAAATATGTTTGTCCAGCTTCGGGCTGAATTCAAGAAGTGGAATGATCATCTTAACAGCACAAAGCCAACCTGTCAGTATATTTACAACGTTAAACATTTTTTGAATTTACTGTTGTTGGAAATTTTGCTTGTTGTTGGGAAATCCATTTTGTTCTTAAAACAAGTTTGCAGTTTGAAAGAGTTTAGCCAGAATTACAGAGGGAGGGAACTGCTCGGTTTCAGCAACTACAGTGGGTTTGAGTTGGTTCTGCGGGAGCATGTGGCCAAACTTAAGAAGCCAGCCATTGAATTGCTCATTGCAATCAAAGGTACTGTACTATCACACACCTAATCTCCATTACAAAACTAAATGATTAGATCACAATTAAATTAATGTTTAATAGCACATCTAAACTTGTCTTTTTGATTTATGTATTTCTCCTGAAGCCATCATCCTCAAGCAATTCAAAGATGTGTCCTATCGATGTTTTCAGAACTACCATGTACTTCGAAACATTACTATGGTAAATAGTGCTACATTCATAGTTTTTCTCTTTCCCCCAACAAAAAAGTTTAAACAAACATAATAATTATCATTCAGGGAAAAAAAAGAAAAAAAGTGTGCTTTTGCCTCACTTGCCTTGCGGCTTGCGCTTTTGTGTTTTTAACCCAATTCTTTGAAAAAGAAGAGGAGAGTTAAAGAGTTAGTTCACTCAAAAATGAAAATTCTGTCATCATTTACTCACCCTCATGTCGTTGCACACACTTAAGACTTTTGTTCATCCAAGCGGAACACCAAATGAAGATATTTTAAATTAAATCTGAGAGCTTTCTATCTCTCCATTGACGGCTGCACAACTACCACTAGCACAAGTTCATAAAGAGATTAAAACCTCTCCTCATGAATTGAGCAGTTTAATCTAAATTTTATTTTATATGATGAACAGATTTAAATGATTTTATTCACAATTCATCAACTCACACATTGGTTATAGTAAACGGAAGCTCAAGCATGATTGATGTGCAAGAACCAATGAGGTTTATTCTTGTACGTTTGAGCTTCAGCAAGAACCGCAAGAAGGTTGAGCTTCTGTTTATGTTTGCTGATCAATGTTTATGTGTGAAAAAAGCCTAAATTCAGTGTCTGTTCATCATTTGAAGTAATCGTGTCTCTTCAGAAATTTTTCACTAAACCACATATGGATTATTTTTACGATCTCTTTCTGAACTTTTTGAAGTGTCAAAGTGGTAGACATGAGGGTGGGTAAATGATGGCAAAATTTGGATTTTTTTATAAAAATATCCATCTTTGCAATGATAATCAACATTAAGCTTCAAATGCTTTTAATTGAACTAACTTTGTACTGATCGCGAAATATCCCTTTAATTAGGTACTCTTTCCTCTGTACTTCTTTATTTGAAACCATAGAACAAAATCTACAATATTCAGTCAAGTCAAGAAGACAAAACAGAGCAGAGGATCTCAGAGCAGTTTGAAATGGAAAACGTGGTCTACACTCAAGATCCCATCTACTTGAAGTTCTTGAACGAGATTAGCGAAGAGACATTTTCAGAAGATCAGTTACCTGTCTTTGACATAAAAAGCAAGTACAGTGAAATGCTCCAGGCATATTATGAGGTAGAGCTTCTTTCTATAACAAATATTGTTTTGCTTCAAGTTTGACTGCAGTACTTTTGTTTGGATGTTACTCTTTGATTTTCTTTCAGATTGTGGTGCAGCGAATGGCTGACCAACTGCCCATGATGATCTTGTTTTTCATGTTGAAGCAGACTGCTCAGCTTCTGTCTACTGAAATGTTGACTTTACTGGATGGGGCAAATGTGAGCGAGCTCCTGTTTGAGGACTCTGAAGTTGGCACAAGACGCAGATACCTACAGGCTCGCTTGGACCGTTTGACTGCTACCCAGGAAGCACTTAGTGATTTTAATTGAGGGACCTGTAACTGACTTATCATGTCATGTGATTTCTTGATCTCCTCGTGTGTTCTTCTACTTCTTTTGATGTCTTATGGCAGTTGTCAAACCAGTTTATGATGCATATTCCACCACCTACTGGGATGGTGTGTGTGGTGTTGATATCAAGAGTAAATGTAAAACCTATATTTCATTATATAACTGTAATTTTCAGGAAATTTCTAAGAGTTTTATGAATTTTATAAGAACTGTTTAGCAAAATCTGTAATCTCAGAGAATTAATACCAGCAAATTTTAACTCCTCTTTTAACTGGAGTCATTTTTTTCCAGTCAAACGGCCTACTTTTTAAATCAACACATGCTCCACTCTTTCTGGAAGTTCATAATAATTACACTGACTGGATTCATGTTTCCCTATCATCTGGATTGATTTATAAAGAGTGTACATTTTTTAATCAAGATATATCGTCCCTTCTATAACCATAAGCGGCTCTTAAACGACTTTTTTTATGTTGGCTATATTATACAAATATTGCTGTTTGTTTCCTTTATCTCACCTCTCTTGCCACATCTTTCAGAAAGCTACTTTAATTAAACTTTTAATTTACTCTTTTCAAGGGTAGGAAGCCTGTTTTACCTTGTCCACCTCCTTATTTCCCTTCACTCCAACATGAGCTGGCATGGCACCCATAAAAAACCCTGCTATAATTCGCAGTTGGCATATTGTATACTAGCTTGGGTCTCCCCATGCTGCCTTTCTGCAGCACGATTTTATTCACGCTGCTATAGGCAGTCTGGATACCATGAACCAAATTTTCCCCTGAGATAGGGAAACAATCACAGAACGGGGAGGGAGCAGCAAGATGATGACGTTTAAGGAGTCTGTTTAGGCTAGTAATATTGTAATAAAGTAATAAAGATCAGAATAAAAAACAGGTATAGCTTGTTTTTCTCTAACAACAATTTAACTAAAATTATCAAATTATCTTACAAATAATAGGCCTTCATTCAAATACATTTCATAAGTTTTATCATATATTTTTAAATACACAAAATCAATTTAATTTCTTATACAGTCCAATATCACCTCGTGTTGTTATTTTGTGTGAGAAAAACTGGAAAATCACTGATCATTGATTAAAATAACTCGCATTTGATTGGCTTATACAGTGTTTATTTTATATAAATATAATGACTTATGATTGCCTATAGATTATTATCCTTAATATTACATTAATGTATTACATTACATTATAGTAATAACAGTAAATTATGCATAATTTCATGCAACGAACACTAAATCTAATCCTAACCTTACCCTAGTAAGTACATGTAGTTAATTAATAATTCTGTAACGATGAGGAGGCAAGGAGGAATCCAAATGCAGAAAACAGTTTTAATAATAATAATAAACAAACAAAAAGGGAAATCCACGGAAGACAAAGAAACTTCGAAACAGGAACTCAGAACACAACTCAGAAACAGGAACTCAGAACACAACTCAGAAACAAGAACTCAAAACAACGCTACAGTGAAACATCGACCGACACCCAACAACTGAAACACAGGGGTTTAAATACACAGACAAACAAGCTAAATGAGGGAACAAGGGGGTGTGGTAAATCAGAAACACCTGGGAAACTTATAAACAAGAAAAACTACAAAGGACTACAAAACATGGCACAGAAACAGGAAATAACTAAAGTCCACACAAGACAAGGAAAACACAAGACAGGAATCGTGACAAATCCGTACCTAAATGTATAATTACGCTGTAACATGGACACCCTAAAATATATTGTAACCCACTTTTTTTAAGGTGTCATTGTTACAGTTTAATTATACATTTAAGTACTGAGTATAGTTATCATCTACGTGTTAGGGTTTGAATGAGGGTTTGGTTCAGTTCCATGTAATTATGCATACTCTATAGTTATTACTAACTAAATGTAACGAGTAATAAGACCACCATTGTAAAACAACGTCTTACCATTTTTTCCAGTCTTTGGTCATACCCATTTAAGTGGATAATAGATATACCGTATGACCAGTTTTGGGGAAAGTTGCTTTTTTAAAATAATGTATTACAATATTGCGTTACTTAGTAACCTTTTATTGAGATTGTGTTATTTTTTCCTCATCTGGGCTGGGCTTGCTTATTTGCTTTTAATAGCAAATTATATATATATATATATATATATATATATATATATATATATATATATATATATTTGGCAAATATAAAGGCCCATTAAAAGTCTCTAACTAAGCAAGCCGAAAAATGTGACCGGCAAGGAATGAAAACGATTTAAATATTTAAAGTTCTTTACATTTGTATAATATTGAAAATTAAAAAAACATTTTAAAATCAAACCATTGTATCATACAAATAAAAGTCATAAATAATAAATATAAAGATTTAATCAAAAAAATTATTAAAACGAATAAAATGGAAAGCATGTACGCTACATGAAAGTACATAAACTGAATAAGATAATAAAGTGAGTTTAAAGTTTTTTTTTAAACAAACAAACATTTTTAACTTTATAGTGAGAAAAGGAAGGGAGCAGTTCACAGTCATTTAGAGAAGAGCATTCGTCCGTACATTGATCTGATTGACACTCTGCGGTCAGTTGGTGGTCACAAGGACGTGGCATTACCGACTATTGCAGTGATCGGAGACCAGAGTTCTGGGAACAAAGTTCAGTTCTTCCAGTTTTTCCAGTTTTACACCGCACCTGTCTGTCTGTTCTACCTCGTTGCATTTTTAACATGGGTGTGTTTCACTATAAATTTAGCCTGCCATATAGATTAAAACTCATTTTCATTTCTCTTCAGCATCACCTCAAACGCTCCATTTGGCTGAAAAAAAAAATATACAATTTACAAGAGGCATCTAAATCTAAGCACATTATCTTTTCTCAGAACTGATTTTTTAAAATAATTCATTTTTTATCCAGAAAATGTCTCATTCAACCTTGAATTCTTCAGTGCTATCTCCACTTCGAAGAAATGCTTATGATGACGATGATGATGATGATGATGAAGATAGTGACAATTCTCAAAATGCAAGGTTAGTATATTTTTTGCCTATTTTTAAACTGAATTATTTAGTAAATTGATTTTTTTAATGTAGAAATATTTGTACATGCTTTTATTGGCCATGTTAATTTCTTGTCATCTAGATGTAAAAAAGGAAAAGAAAAATGTACATTTATACAAAGTAATGTGAGTTTATTAGGGCAGGTCACTTGAGTGGTCTACTTGCATCACTTATGATTTTACATAGCTCATTTTTTTCTGGAGTTTTATGTTCTGAAATATATTTTTGCAGTGTTTCAAAACAATTCAGAACAGTCCAAAAACACATTTAATAATACAACCCTCTTCAGGGATATGTCCCTCACAGCATCAATTATTCCTGTTAAAAATTGCAAAGATAGCGCTGTTATGAATATGTTATAATGGAAGGGTGACCATATTTTGATTACCAAAAACGAGGACACTCAGCCCGGCAAACAGAGACTCAAATGATACTCAAAGTTTACTCCAAGAAGCCTTATTAATTTCAATACATTTAAATTAGGCTATGCTCCACTAAGTTATTATATTACAAGACAAATTCAGATAGGCTTCTCAGAGTGCCCTCAGATGACCATACTGTACTAGACATGGTAGTTTTAGTACAAATACAAAGTCACTTGCACTCTGGGGAAGAAACCACTAAATCAAAAAAAGGATCACAGACTTTTGTGAATAGAATCTATGAGATTATTAAATATTTTGCATCTAGACAATTTTAGAATGTGTACGAAATTTGAGACTGACCTGTTAAAGGGATAGTTCACCCCAAAATTTGAATTCTGTCATAATTTACTCACCCTCATGTTGTTCTAAACCTTTATGAGTTTCTTTCTTCTGCTGAACACAAATAAGATATTTTAAAGAATGCTGGTAACCAGACAGTTGACGGCACACATTTATTTACATAGTGTTTTTTCGCCTCCTACTAAGTCAATGTGTGCCGCCAACTGTCTGGTTACCAGCATCCTTTAAAATATCTTGTTTTGTGTTAAAAAGAAGAAAGAAACTCAAACAGGTTTGGAACAACATGAGGCTGAGTAAATAATGGCAGAATTAAAATTTTTGGGTGAACTATCCCTTGACTTATTTAAAAAAAAAAATTTTTTTTTACTCCAGATTTACTCAATGTTACACCGTGGCCCAGTAAGAGAATGAGATTTTCTGCCGAAATGTTACATGTTAATTATTTGATATTGATATATTATTGATATTATATTTGCACTGATATTTCATTTTACTAATAAAGTTATACAAATCATTCCA